TGAGCTTGGCCAAAGTTCTGTTGATTTGTTTACTTTTTCAAAAAACCAGCTCTTGGTTTGATTATTTCTATTGGTTTTTAAATCTCTATTTTATTTATTTCCTCTCTGATCTTGATTATTTCTTTCCTTCTGCTGACTTGAGGTTTTGTTTATTCTTCTCTTTCTAATTCTTTTAAAGGGGTAAGTTAGGTTATTTCTTAGAGATTATTCTTTTTTTTTTTTTTTTTTTTTAGGAACTCTTGTATTGTTGTGAACTTCTCTCTTAGGACTGCTTTGCTACATCCCATAGATTTTGTGTGCTTGTGTTTTCATTGTCATTTGTCTCAAAATATTTTTTAATTTCCTTTTTGATTTCATTATTGACTTATTGGTTTTTTTAGTAGCATGTTGTTTAGTCTCCATGCAGTTGTGTTTTTTTCTGGTAGTTGATTTCTAGGTTCGTGTGTGCTTTATACTATCCTATAAGTCTCTCATATTGCTTTCACTTTTTCATGTCTTTTCCTGTCTGCTGTTTTGATTGGGCAATTTCCATTAGTCTACCTTCTAAATCAGTTATTTGTTCTTCTGCATTATTTAGTCTGCTATCGATTGCCTTTAGCTTGGCTTTTATCTCAGCAATTGAGTTTTCTAATCTTAGTTGGCTCCTCTTTGTAGTTCCTAATTCCTTTTTACACTATTCTGCATTTCTGTTGATAACCTCTGTTATTTCCTTCAGTCCTTTTTTTTATTTCCTTTTTGAATTCAGGTTCTGGTAGACTGTAGAGGCCTATTTGACTGTTGGTTCTTTCAGGGAACTTCCTTTGCTCTTTCCATTGGGAGCGGTTCCTCAGCTTCTTCGTCTTACATTTCTCGGACTCTATGAACGCAGGAGTGTCAGGCGTCTACTGTGGTCTTGAAGGGCTGTTTTTGTGTGGGAGAATTTCCGAGTAGACTGTGCACATCTAATATGTGTGTCACAAGGGCCATTTTTAGTGTGGATGGCTACCATGCCTTTCCTCCGTGTGTGCTGGCTCTTACCTGCTTGTAGGTGGTGTGATTTTGGTGTTGTGGTGACCAGAGTCTGCAGTGGATGTTGAACAGAGCCTCCTCTTTGCTTGGCGACAATCACAGCACTGCCAGGGGCTGAGTCTGCTTGCCTGTGGTGGGAATGGAAGCCCCAGATCCATTTCTGAGCTGTGATGCGTGGAGGGCAGTGCTGGAGCCCTTCCGCTGCGAGAGGAGCAGCTGAGTATTCCTCTGCAGGGAACGTCCACCGGGAAGTGCCCTCTGGGTGTTGCCTTTCACTCATGCAGGTTTACAAAGAACACGTTTTTGATGCTGACCCTGTTGCCCCTAAGCTGCAGGAATGCCAGCAGCCCACCCTGGTGTCCCCCAGGCTCTGCAGCCACAAAGCCATCGGTGCATATTACCATCAGGCACCAGGACTCACCATTGTGCATGTGCAGTCACACACCTGGATCCACCATGGGCCACAGGGTCAAGCCAGACTCCAGCCCCCCTCCGCATTCGCACGCCTGTTGTTAGCCCCAGGCCCACCCCTGCTGTGTCCCAGTATTGCACTTGGTTTTTCCAGACGTCCCGTCCACAAAGGCACCAATGAAGCAGATCCACCACAGCCACCAAGGGCTTGACTCAAATTCCAGTCCTGCCTGAGAAGTCTTGCAACCCCTTGGAATGAGTTCAGGCTTCAACCCTGCCAGTGCTTGGGAGCCACGCACCAGTGATTGTGCTCCTCCAGTGCAAGCTGAGAATACTGCTATGTCTGGATCCACCTCTCCCTCCATGACAGTGCATTAACACTGGTGCTGAGCAATGCCCACTGGGCCAGCAGAGAGGGCTGCTAGGGCCAGCTGTGTTGCACTCCTCTTCCTCTGTGTGTGCCAGCAGTGTAGATTTCTATGGTGGACCCAGGCTCTTTTGCACACACTCCCAGACTCAGCCCACACCACACTCCAGCCACCTGAGGCTGCATCTGCACAGTCATCCCCAGTGCTCTTCCCAGGTCTGTCCTTTTAAGCCGGAGTTCCAGCACCAAGTCCCATCCTGCACCAGCTGGCTCATGTCTCGAGCTAGGGATTGCACAGACCCTCTGTGCCAGCCTCTGTCTGTTCTGTCTGCTGAAAGTGGCTCTGTGCTCTGCCCTGAGCCCCTGAGGCTCCCCTTCTGCCCCACCTAAGCTCCCCACTGGACACGGGGCTTCCCAAGGCGAGGGCACTTTTCCTCTTCTGCTGCTCCCTCCTGAGGGACAGGTCCAGTCCCAATTTCCTTTTTCTTTTTTTTCCCCCTCCTATCTGGTTTTGTGATGATTTTCCTTGTAATTCCACTGGTACAAGATCTTACGCCTGAGTTCAGTAAGTATTCTGTGAGAATTGTTCCACATGTAGATGTATTTTTGATGTATTTGTGGGAGAGGGTGAGCTCCATGTCCTTCTGTTCCACCTTGAAGCCCTTCCACCCACTCTCTCTTTGACCAATTTCCTTAATTTGGGTATTTCCAGTGGTTTCTCACCACCCCCACCCACCTCATTTGTGCCTCCTTCTAGGGATCATGGCGTTACTCTTTGAGTTCAGTGATCTTGTGGTCCTCGTGTCAGTTGGGACCCTGCTGGCTTACTCCCTGTTAGCTCTTTCTGTTCTCGTTATCAGGTGAGCATCCACCACATCTTGACCGGGGGTCACGGACTTGTGGGGATGGATGGGGAGGTAATCCTCATCTGCCTTCTTGCTGCCTTCTAAATGTCTTACTGTGCTCACGTCAGAAAAGAGCTGGATTTCATTGTCTGATGTTGGGTGAGTAGGAGATGCTGTTAACATTACCTCAACACTTCTAATTCAGGTACCAGCCAGACCGGAATTTAAGCAAGAGTGAGAAAACAAGGGAGAACATTGGGATGAAGCATCAACGTGGAAACTCAAACATTCTAAAGACTCTGTGTGACCCTATGAACACCAGCCCCTCTCAGAAATCTGGCTGGATTGTCTACAGATGTGCCTTACTGCTTGGTGAGCAGTGGGATGGCTCTTTGGCGGTGTTCAGAAATTGAGAGGATGGGGTGGGAGTGTGACCTTGGTGGTTGTTAAGGCTTCTTGGAGATAATATGAGCTTCCTGATGAGGGCAGTTTGGGGAAGCGTGTGACCCAAGGCCTGACACACTGGCTTCTGGACTTGACCCTGTTCTCCTCCAACTGGACCCTACAGTTCCCCTGCTGACGGCCCTGAGCCTGGTGCTGGCCCAGTGGCCCCGCCGTGTGTTCTCTGGAGACCCCGTCTGCACAACGGTGGCTGTGCTGCTGCTGGTGCTCATCGCCGGGGTCACTGTCACCATCTGGAGGCAGCCCCAGGGCCCCACTCCTCCTCCCTTCAAGGTGGGTGACCTTATGCACCCAAACTATCCACCTTCAGTGAAGGAAGTCTGCATGCTTTGCAATCTAAA